GCACAGTGCCCGGCACCCTGGAGCCTCACCCCCTCTGCATTCTGCACAGTGCCCGGCAGATACTAGTCCCCAGTGAAAGGCTAATTGAATTCCACTGCCAATTCAACTTCTCTACCAAAGAGAATTTTTCACCTCTGTTCTCCGTAAACACAGAAAAATGATCCCTTGATTCTCTTGTCCAAACTTAACATTCTCCTAGAGAAAGTCAATATAAAATGTGCCATCAGAGGTGGAAAACACTCTCCAGCCTCCTCAGGAAGTGACTTAACAAGGAATAACGATGCATGGGAGAGGTGTCAGAAGCCCTGTCAATAATAAATGACCTTATTAAAAGAAATTTCCAATATAGTGTACTTGGAGTTTCTAAAGCAATTGAGTGCCAGCTATTAATTGGTTCCAAATAAATCAAAAGCTTAGCAAATAGCATCTTTGTGATCACATGGCTATTAAAGAGAAATGCAAGATCAAGAAAAAAAAAAGATAATCCATATGTGGACAAAGACTGAGTGTCACCTTTGGCCAAAACAAGTAATAGTTCTCACCAAAAAATAACTTCACATGCATACATATTAAAATACTATGAATAAATGAAAACATTTTCCTTCAGGCCTAGCAAACTCTGTGAGGCTCCCTTTCTGTATCTGTAAAATGAGAAAGTTAAGTTTTCTTATTAAATGATCACTAAAGTCTCACCTACTCAACTCAGAGGTCTTCAAACATAGTGACAGTGTCTTATTTATCAATATATTCACTACCCCAAACAGCTCCTGTCACATTATAGATTTTCAATAATTTACAAAATCTGGGTCAGGTGCAGTAGCTTACACTTGTAATCCCAGCACTTTGGGAGGCTGAGGTGGGAAGACAGCTTGAAGCTGGGAGTTTGAGACCAGCCTGAGCAACACAGTGAGACCCCTGTAGTCCCAGCAACTGGAGGCTGTGGCAGGAAGACTGCTTGAGCCCAGGAGTTCAAGGCCTCAGTGAGTTATGATCACAACACTGCATGTGCCAGCCTGGGTGATAGAGCAAGACTCCATCTCTTTAAGATAATAATACTAATTTCCAAAATCTTTTAAAAAGATCCTTTAAACAATGGCCTGTAATTCAAGGTGTTTGTCACTGTTCTGATGATTCCATATATATATATAAACTGTGTAAACATCTTGGGCAAGAGAGAAGTACGAAATTTTTTTCCTGATAGTAATTTGTATAGTATTCAATCATTCATTCATTAAGCAAGTATTTGTCGAACATCTAAGAATAAGGTGACTAGATGTCCCGCTTTTTATGGGACAGTCCTGATTTTTAACAATTTGTCCCATGTCCCACAGCATTTTTAAGTCTTGAATTTTGGAAAGAATGTATGACAAGCTAGGGAAGGGCAGGACAATGGGAAGGGCAGGACAATGGGAAGGGAATATAAAGTTTTTGGCTGCTGAAAAGGTTAATGTAACTCCATCTGGGAGTGAAGAGGTTAATGTAACTTCATTTGGAAATGAAAAGGCTAATGTAAACTCCCTACTCCCCTCCTGTGCAAGGTCGCCCAGGTGGACCAGCAGGCACTCTACTCCTTTGAGCCACAGGCGCTGCCCTATACATAATTTTTTTAAATATATTATATTTGTAAATTGTACTTGTGTTGAAATTAAAATATATATATTACAATACTATTTTTGCATTCTATGAAAATTTTTGTTGCTCCACATAGACCAAATTTTTAATTAAGAACATCCCTCCCACTCCCCCCACCCGTCAATGGTGTCCCGCTTTACCAATGTTAAAATCTGGTTACCCTAATTAAGAACCAGGCCTTGTACTTGGCAATGAGAATATACTACCAATAGGCAAACTCCTCACCCTAAAGGAATTCATAGTTTAGTGGGGAGACGCATAAATAAATGGAAATTAACATGTAATAGGTACACGACAAGCCTCTCAACCACGGCAGCCATGTTCACATAATACAAGACCGCCAGCCCTGTGGAGTGGTCCAGCTTGACAACTCACTCAAGCTGCGGCGGTCAGAGATCTTCCCTGAGAACTGAGTACTTTGACTGAGAGGGAAAGAGTCCTGCCAGTACATGGCAGGAATTGCAACTTATGAAGTTGGGAATGTGGATGGCAATATTCTACCACCCGTGTGGACTGTGGAGCAAAGGAAGTCATCCTGCCAAGAAATAAAGTTGATCAGTAGAGGGCAGAGGTGGGGGACTGGGGTACAGCATTGTAGCCCTCTGTCTCAATCAGAAAGACCTTATCAATCCTTACAAAAAACTACACATTAAGATTTTAACTACTTCAACAAAAAGAAAAGGTAAGGAAGAAGCTAAGCAAAACTTTAAACCACAGACTTGACTTTGCTTCCTACTGTTTGCAACTCAAAAGCTGTTCACTAACCCAGTGGAGGTGAACAAAGCTGATTGGCTCAGCTTGTGGCAGTTATCTATCTGTAATCCAATCAGTGTTGGCCAAGGGGGTGGGGTCACAAGATAGCAACCTGACTGCAAGGAGCCCACCTTCTGACCCCAAGACATGGTTGCTGCAGGGAAGCAGTTTTCAGAGGAGGAAAAACTGTTACAAGACATTTAGTCTTATTCTTAGGTATTTATGGCCTATATAACCTTCCAGTCCATACCTGTAATTGAGAACTTTTCAGTAATCCTTCTGGTTCCTTGTTTCTGAAATGAAAATCAACTAATTCTCTGAGATTTTCTATAAACAGGGAAGTGGAGGCATCCCCATCGATTTGTAGTGATACAAGATGACTTAGGGTGCAGGAAACGAGAGATGATTTTGTAATACTATGAGAAGTATGGTCCTTCCAATGGAAGAATTCCAATGTTCCATCCAATGGAACATTCCAGTGAGCAAAATGTTGATCCAGAGAAGACATAGAATAGAAATCTGCAGTTACAAATACCAACATCCCTCAATGGCTGGTCTGTGCAAGGGTCTAAAAATTTCTCAGGCTGAAGATCAATCCATTTCAACAGTGAACAGAACTTGGGGACAGGAGTTTTACTGCAACAGCCCACTCCACTGTTGTCTATCATATCTAATTCTCTGATTGGATTCCCATCTCAAGCAAATAGCCATGATAATTTAAATTAATTTTGAGTAGCTTGAAGCTGACAGCCTTAGCATTCAAAATAAAATGCTTCTGTTCCTGATATAATTTACTGATACGGTATCAGAAACCACTGACATTCTTAG